CACGTAGACACCGAAAACTACAAAGCGCACTATGTGGACCTCGTCATTGGCAACCTGGGACACCTAGACATCGAATTCAACGTACGATTACACCTGGACACCGAAAACTATAAAACGCACTATCTGGATCTTGTCATCGGCAACCTGGGACACGTGGACATCGAATTCAAGGTATTAATACACGTAGACACCGAAAACAACAGAGCGCACTATGTGGACCTCGTCATCGGCAACCTGGGACACGTAGACATCAAATTCAACGTATTATTACACCTGGACACCGAAAACTATGAAGCGCACTATCTGGACCTCGTCATCGGCAACCTGGGATACCTAGACATCGAATTCAAGCTTGATTCATAAGAATCGACTTAAAAATTCCCTAGCGACACTTTCTGCCAAGCGTAGAGAACCTTCTTTTCCGGCAGCGGTGGTAATACGATGTAAGGGTACGAAATCTCTCCAGATAAACATGAAGCAATTGACTCAATATATATTATATAAGTATATACCTAATTTGCCTAAATAGAAATCTTCCTCCTGACCGATAAGTCTATCGACCTAATTTCGAAATACGCGCGCGATATCGAAACTGGCGATACCTGCGCCGCCAGCGGCGAAAAAGTGAAAGTGACGTTTCTCTGATAGATATGTCGCGGCGTTAGGAGGAAGAGTATCTTAAAAATAAATTTTCATATTTGGACTTTGCGTCGCAATATCTCCGCTCGTAGGGCACGTAGCGGAAAATTATAAGAGAAACCCCCCCCCCTAATTGGACCCCAAGCTATCGATCAAGCCTACTTAGAACTTGATCCGTTCACTTGTTATCGAGATCTCAACATCTCGGGTACTCGCAACCCGTCGCGTCGCGTAAAAGAGTCACGGTCGGTCTCGCTCCGCGTGTACTTGGCGCGAGACACTACCGTGTCTCTTGATAAACAGGTCACGAAATCCTCAATATTCGTTATTGTACTATTTAGTAAAATATGTATTGGGCATTTTATCAGTCGAAATATTTGCATTTTAATTTAAATATTAGAGATTAAATCAGTACAACGCAACTGGTGCGTCCAACCAAATTCACTATAACATTTTTTGCAGCAAGAGCATTAATCTTTTGCTATTTAGCAATAATTGCAAAAAGATTTTGCTACTATTACTAAATTATAGCTCTCAAAGCAAAAAATGTTAGTTATCCCTATAGTAACAAACCCTTTTTTTCCGTGTATAGATAGATATAGATTTATAGATGTATAATTATATATCAATTAGCTTATTTTTATTATTACGAACGACATTCTTCAATAAAGTTGTCTACTCTAACTTTATAAAGAAATTTTCTGAAAATTTTTTAATTTTGCAGAAATTTTTCAAATACCTAAGTATTTATAGACATAAATTAAAAAAAAAATGAACGCGTGGTCGCCACGCGCGTTAGAAGTGAAACTTCTGAAGGCAAGGCTTTGCCATAACTTTTCTGAAATTAATACAAAAACAATGCAACGGAATTAGTCACTCCAAGCCGCCCGCAACTCGAAAATATAGTGTTACACGCAGTTCTCACTATATCCGTCTCGCCAGTGCCGTACGCCTGATCGAATTTTCGTGACGCGTTTTCGAGTCGCAAAATCGAATTTACTTACCGATCCAAAAGGAGTTTCACTTTGTACGCCTGTTAGTCGAATTTTCGTGACACTATTTCGTGACGTTTTTTCATGTCGCACAATCGAACTTACTACCGTATCAAAGAAGTTTCATTTCGTACGCCTATTGGTCGAATTTTCGTTACACTTTTCGTGTCGCATAATCGAACTGCTTACTAGTTTTTTGTCCAAAAGGAAAATTTTTTAAAGTATTGCGACTGTTACTGTCTGCATTGTGTTTTTCATTATACGACTATTGGTTCGCCCTGGCCTTTATTTTTTTAAAGTATTGCGACTGTTACTGTCTGCATTGTGTTTTTCATTATACGACTATTGGTTCGCCCTGGCCTTTATTTGAGCAGCGCTCGACGGCCATTATAATAAGAAGAAGAAGAAGAACTGCTTACTACCGTGCCAGAAGAAGAACCGTCTTGCCAACGCCGTACGCCTATTGGTCAAATTTTCGTTACACTTTTCGTGTCGCACAATCGAACTTACTACCGTACCAAAGAAGTTTCACTTCCGTTACACTATTTCGTGTCGCGAATCGAACTCACTACCGTGCCTAAAGAAGTTTCACTTCAAAATTTAATTATTATCTTGACTTCTTAATGGCGTATTCTGGTTTGAGAGGTTGTAAAAAAAGATATTTCTCAGAAATTTTTTTGTAGAAAAGTGAAAAAAACAAATAACGTTATAAAAAACAAATAACTTTGCATGTTCTTTTAATCTTATTTTAAGAATATAATATTTATTTTTTGAATAACTAAACATTACAGACGCGCGCTTCGCGCGCGCTATTTAGCTTTAACATTATACTATTAAGGCTCAGTCACAATGAGAAAAATAAGGAATAAGATAAAGGAATAAGGAATAAGGCATGTTGCATCTCACTTTAATGTACATGTACTGAAGTGAGATGCGACATTCCCTTATTCTTTATTCCTTTATCTTATTCCTTATTTTTCTCATTGTGACTGAGCCCTTACTATTACACTCCTTGATACACACAACTGTCAAAATATACGATGACAGCTGCTCATGAAGTAAGCGCAGCGAGAGAACCAATCGACATCGCAGAAAAGCGACAACAATAAACTTCGATAGATTCGAGTATCGACTTTGCACGCCTTTTTATAGAGAGGGATGGATAAAAACGCTCTTCTTTTTTGTTATATCTTGGTTACCAAGAGCAAAAAAATGTATATGGATTATGTAAATGATTAACTGTTCTATTAGGTATCTAAAACGCAAAAACTAAAAATTTTCTTATTTACGAGATGTGTAGTTATCTGAACTAAAATTATGGCACGCCGTTTTACTTTTTAATGGTATCAATAATATTCTACATAATATAAAAGTTTTCAAAAATAATTGTCTTAAGAAAAATAGCGATTCTTACTAATGATTTTAAATTATGTCGGGACATAAAAATAATTCCGAATTTTTATTATGTTCCTACATCATTGTAATTCATCCAATTAAAATTATATCGGAACATAATAAAAATTGTACGGCAAGCCGTTTTACTTTTTAATAGCATAATAAATATTCCATTCAATACAAAATATTAAAAAAAATAATAGTCCACAATTGTTATTAATGAATTAAAATTATGTCATGACATCGTAAAAATTCGGAATTATTTTTATGTGTCGACATAATTTTAATTCATCCAATTTTTATGATGTCGCGACATAATTTTAATTCATCGAATATTGATATATTCATCAAAATTTGATATACATAATAAAAATTTGATGAAGAATTTTACTTTATATACCCCAAGGGGCCTTAAAGGGCGTTTTGAAGGAACGTACCCAACCCTAACCTCCAATTTTCATCCACTACCTTACTATTTCCTCCTTTGATGGGAGGATCGTCCGAGAGTAAGTAAACAGAAGCACGTCTGCCGAGCGCGTCTGCTTATTTCCGAACTTATCTGCCGCTGTATCGCCCTGGGGCGAGTTTGTTACAGGTTTTCTGCAAGCGCAAAATTGCAATTTTAGTTGGAGATAGAAGGAAGCAGCAGAGGAATCGCAGGGAAAACGCTTTTCTGGAGTTTCTTATGCTGAGATAACCTTGGAGGTTAGAGAACAAAAAGGGAAACCAGTTGTCGGGTTCGCAAACCTACCAAAAAGCGAACACTAACGGCCCAGGGGTGCCTCTGATATAGAGAGGTGAGAGACTCAAGCTACGACTATAAAACGAACAGTGAAGGGGAAGCCACCGAGCGGTCAAAGACAGAGACCTATTAATGAGCAATACAAGAGAAGGCACGGAAAGGCAAAAGGAGTCAAAAAAGAAAGGAAGGCCGATCAACGCAATACATCTTGGAAGGCAAAGGACTAACAGTGAATCGATTATTGAATCGTTTAAGAGAAAGAGGGAAGAAGAGGAAGATAGGATAAAAACAGAGAAGGAACTACTCGAAAAGTTTGAAAAATCAAGAACAGTGGGCAGATCACCTCCAAATAAGAGAACAGGAATAACATCAGGAGCAGAAAGGACGCAAGAGGAGATGAATATAGAAAACGAAAAAGGGGTAGACATGGATAAACTAGACAAATTAACGGAAATCATGCTAACAATTAAGAAAGATACAGAAGAGATAAAAAAAGAAAACAAGGCAATAAGATCAGAAATACAAGACTTAAGAGAAGAATGGAAAAAGAAACAAGAGAAGTGGGAGAAGGAAAAAAGGACAATGGAAAACAGACTGAAGGAATTGGAGATCAAAGAAGAACAAATAGAGAAGAAAATGACAAGAATGATACAGTTGGAAGAGAGGGAGGAGGCAAGAGAGAGAAGAGAAAGAAAGAACAATATTATTGTGAAAGGAGAGGACTTACCGAGAGAAGGCTCACCCAAGGAAGAGATAGAACAAATAATGAGACGCGAACTGCAGGTAGAGGTGGAAGTGGAGGATGCGTATTGGATAAGAAAGGAGCAGCGAGGAAGAATGCTAATAGCGAAATTAAAAAATTGGCAACAAAAAAAAGATGTGCTAGCAAAAAAAAGTAAGCTGAAAGGTAAGAAACTGTACATTGACAACGACCTAACAAAGAAAGAAAGAGACGTGCAAAGAAAGATAGTAGAAATCGCGAAAAAGAAGAGAGAGCAAGGAGAACAAGTAAAGATAGAATACAAGAAACTAATGGTAAACGAAAGGATTTTTATATGGAAGGAAGAGGAAGGATTGAGAGAGAGTTTTCAGTACAGACAAAACACTGCAAACCTATAAAACAATAACAGCCGAAAGTAATATAAATAAAGGTAAAGAAAAAACAAGGCAAGGAAAAACAAATAGAGATTAAGGCTACGACTTTCAGAAAAGACCAGGCAACGAATCATCAAACGAGAACAGGGGCGGCGGAGACAGATTGCGGGAGCAGGACAGACGAGAGGGACATTAAAAACTCACCAGATGCCACCTATCGAGAGGTTACAAAACTTCCAAACGAGGGAGAGAAGAGATGGAAAACCTTTGTGGCAGGCTTCTGGAACGTCGGGACTGTTTAACAAGGACAGGCAATTTTGGAAACACATAGAGAACTACGACGCCATAGGGCTAACGGAAACATGAGTCGACGAAAAACAATGGGAGAAATTGAAAGACAAATTACCGGACAAATTCACATGGAAAAGTACTGCAGCCAAACGAGAAAGAACCAAGGGAAGAGCAAGGGGAGGAATAATAACAGGGATAAGAAGAGGTGTCAAGGAAGAAGAAACAACGAACGAGCGGGAAGACATTCAAGAAAGAAGAGTGATTTTAAACAACACAGAGTGGAGAATTCTAACAGTATATAGCAGATACATAAAAGAAACAGTAAAAGACTTACGGCAGATAATTCACAGTCCAGAGAACAGAAGAGTATTGATTGGCGGAGATTTCAACGCAAGAATAGGAGACGAGGGCGCAATAAATTGGGAAAACAGTAACAGGGAAATCAGAAGAAAATCGAGGGACAAGATAAAAAATGCAGAAGGAAAAACAATGTTGGAATTGATAGAAGAAGAAGGATGGAGTATACTAAACGGAAATATGGAAGGAGACAAGGCAGGAGAATGGACGTATATAGGTACGTGTGGCAACTCGGTAATAGATTATGGGATAGTTAATGCAGAAGCTAGAGAAGACATAGTGGACTTTGCGGTGGAGGAGAGAATTGAATCAGACCACCTGCCGATCAGAATAGACATTTATTCCACTGAAAATGGTGCGAATCCAGACGTCGAACAAGAAGAGACAAGCGTAGAAAGAAGAATATGGACAGAAGAGGGCAAGAGAAACTTCGCAGAAAAAACAGAAGAAATATCCTTCACGGCACAGGGAATAGACGAGACGGTAGAAGAACTGATAGGAGAATTAAACAAAGCAGTAAGTAAGAAAACAATCAAGATGAGAAAATGGAGGATAGAAACTAACATATGGTGGGATAAGGAGTGCACGGAGTTCAAAAGAGTAGCAAGAAGGGCATTAAGGCAATGGAGGAAGGGAGAAGACAGCAAAGAAAACTACGAGAAAAAAAAGAAAGAGTACAAGGACAAATGCAAAAAGAAGAAAACAAGATGGCAAGAAAGAGAAGATCAAGAAATACAGCAAATCACCAACGAAAATCAAGCGTGGAAATACATTAATAGAGGCAGAAAGAAAAGAACAGAAATTACAAAAAAGATCGAGTCGGACAAATGGAAGGCCTACTTTATGCAGCTTTTAGAAGGAACAGAATCACCAGGATATAGCAACGGTGGGGTAAATGAGACCACAGAACCAGAAGAGAACGAAGACGAGATAACTGGAGCGGAAATACGAAGACAGATAGCTAAACTAAAGAACAAGAAAGCCCCAGGAGAAAATGGACTGGAAAATGAAGTATGGATAAATGAAAGCAGGAAGGTAATACATAGGTTAAAAAAAATTATAAACAGGGTATGGAAAGAAGAGGGGCTGCCGGAAAGATGGAAAGAAGGAGTGATCGCCCCTATCTTCAAAAAAGGAGATAAGGAAAATTTAAAAAATTATAGAGGAATAACGCTGCTCAACTCGGCGTACAAGATATACGCAATGGTACTCGAAGAAAGACTGAAGGCCAAAACAGAAGACAAGAACATCATCCCAGAAACGCAGGCAGGATTCAGACGAGGTAGAAGCACGATAAATAACAGTTTTATTCTGAATTACATCACAAACAGAGAATTAGCCAACAAGGGAGGAAAAGTCTACACCTTCTTCGCGGATTTAAGCGCCGCATTTGACAAGGTGGACAGAGAAGAGCTGAATAAGATAATGGAGAGAACAGGAATCAGCCAGAAGATCAGGAAAAGAATAGGTGAGATTTATCAGGAAACGAGAAACGTCGTCAGAGTAAACGGTCATACAACAAGCAGATTTTGGACAACCAAAGGAGTAAGGCAAGGATGCCCCCTGAGTCCAACGCTCTTCACGCTTTATATGGCGGATCTGGAAGAAAGGATGAGGAAAGGTCAAGCAGGAGGGATAGTGATAGGAAGAGAAAAAATATGGACACTCGCCTACGCAGACGACATAGTGCTGTTAGCCAGGAGTCCAGAGGAACTTAAAGAGATGATAAGTAGATTCCGAAAGTATTTAAAAAAGAAAAAATTGACACTTAACGCTGAAAAATCCAAAGTTATGATCTTCAAAAAAGGAAGGGGTAGGAAGAAGAAGGAAGAATAGAGATGGAACAAAGAAAGACTGGAAAAAGTCAAGGAATTTAAATATCTAGGGTTTTACTTCCAGAAAAACGGAGGACTAGAAACGCATATAAAAGAAACAGTCAAGAAGGCGGCGATAGCAATGGCACAAGTATGGAGTATTGGACAGAGGAAATTCAGAGAGAGTGTAGACAGGAGAATGAAAATGTTCAAGAGCCTAGTGGAAAGCATCCTATTATACGCAGCGAAAATATGGGGATGGAGAGAAGAAGAAAAGGTAGAAAAGTTGCAAGAAAAATATATAAGATGGACTCTAGGACTGGATTTTAATACACCAGCATATCTGATACGAGAAGAAACGAAAATTGACAAAATCAGGATAGAAGCGGGAAAAAGAGCGATGAAGTACGAAGAGAAAACAAAAGAAAGGCAGACAAACAAAATAATCGCGGAGTGCTGGAAAGAGATACAAAACAAACAGAAAGGGAAGAAAACAAAATGGGAAAAAAACAGGGACCAATATTATAGGAAAGTTAGCTCTAGCACATGGGATGCAGAAAATGAAAGCTCTGAAAGAACGAACATGGAAGAACTAATATTGACGGACCGGAAAGAACAAAGAGCAGAGCAAGAGAAAAGGATAGAGGAGGGAAGGTACTGCGCTAGGTACAAAGAGCTGAGAACAGATCACATCCCAAGGTATCTACAAAAAGAATACAAAGGAAGAGACCAGAGATTGATTGCAAGGTATAGATGCGGAAACGAGGAGGAAGGAAGCAAGTACTGGAAAAAAGAAGAAGAAAGAGTATGTAGAATATGTGGCGAGAAAATGGAAACGCTAGAGCATTTGATGTCTGACTGCGTGAAGTCCCTAAGGGATTACAGAAATATCTTAGACATCTTGAAAGATACAGGAGAAGGAGCAGATTGGATGAGGAAAGTGACCAAGCAGGACCTAAGAAACGTACAAATACAAAATGAAACTGATAGCAAAGAAATGTAATATAAAATGTATTGTAAAAAAAAAAAATCGCATCTCAAAGACATGTAACACCCCCTTTCAAGGCCGAAAGGCAACTGAAATAAACAAATTATAATAAAAATTTGATGGCACACCGTTTTACTTTTCAATAGCATAAATAATATTCTACACAATATAAAAGTTTCAAAAAATAATTGTCTTCAGAAAAATAGCGATTCTTACTAATGAATTAAATTTATGTCAAACATAATAAAAATTGAATAAATTAAAATTATGTCGAGACATCATAAAAATTGAATGAATTAAAATTATGTTGGACATCATACAAATTGTATGAATTAAAATTATGCCGAGACATAAAAATTATATAAATTAAAATTATGTCAACATCATAAAAATTGAATGAATTAAAATTATGTCAAGACAAAAATAATACCGAATTTTTATTATGTCCTGACATAATTTTAATTCATCCAATTTTTATGATGTCTCGACATAATTTTAATTCATCCAATTTTTATTATGTTCGACATAATTTAAAATCATTAGTAAGAATCGCTATTTTTCTTAAGACAATTATTTTTGGAAACTTTTATATTGTGTAGAATATTATTTATGCTAATAAAAAGTAAAATGGCGTTCCATTAAAATAAACATTATACTTTTTTTTTTTTTATATATATAAAATAATTACAAAATTTTGAGGAAAACTGTAATATTTTCCATAAAAGGACTGAAGTTTTGTCCAGAATGAAAATATTGATTTAGTTCTAGTTCAAACGATAGCTACACTTCTCCTAAATAAGAAAATTTTTGGTTCTTGTGTTTCAGATACCTAGAACAGTTAGAATTATTTACACCGTCTATATGCGTTTCTTTTTTTTTTTTTTTTTTTTTTGCGAGCTTCTAATAATGACTAGGATATAACAAAAAAGAACGTTTTTGTTACTTACAAAATAGAAATATATTCTTAAAATAAAGCTAAAAGAACATTAAAGTTTAATGTTATTTGCTTTTTTCTTTTCCCTGCAAAAAATTCCTGAATAATGCCTTTTTTATACGATCTTTTAAGCCAGAATACTCCTTTACTCCCTCTTTTCTATTCACATAATTTTAGCTAAAAAATTAAGAGCTATTGATTTTAGGTATTTAACTTGAAAAAGTACTGAACAAAAAATTAAGATTTTGGATGAACTTCCGAAAACCTCCCACGCCCAATTTACGTATTATTTGGTAGAAATGTTTCAAATGAATGTCCTTAAATGAATTTTTACCGATGAGAAAAATAAAGGCATAAAATGTTTAAATAAAGTTTATATATGTAGTTAAACACAATTTTAGATCCTTTTCAAAATTAATTTCAGATATTAAAAAAATATATTTTGGTTGAAAACATAATAAATCTATTAAAAATTAAAACTTTAAGGCTCCTGTGTACTCGTTGCGGCTATGTTGGAATGTGATGTCAGAAGCGAGAAATGACACGTTGAAAATTCTTGCATGGTATTTCCAAATAAAAATATATTTGCTTAAAATAACACTACAGATTACTTCAGCACATTCCAAAAATACTCCGAGTTGTATCCCTTTCCCTTGACAGTTATTAAACATCCGTAAAACAAATGTGATACGATGCAGACTTATGCATGCACTTTTCCATCCATACAACAATTGGTTATCTTTTTTTCTATTGTTATTCTCAATTCATAGAGTGAGATTAATTTTTTTTTATTACAAAAACGTGAAAGACGTTAATTTCGTCAAAAATTTAAATATTTTTCTCGGAAATTGAGCATTTGCAGAACTTAACACTGTGGGTTTCGACTACATTTAGTGGGTACTACACATCCGTAAAATTTTTATCAAAATCGGGTGTGGGAGTTTTTTCGAAAGTTTATCCAAAATTTTTTATAAAATAGATGTTTTATATTGTATAGAAAATCGTTTTCAAAAAATACAAAAATCTACAATAAACATGTAAAATGTTCTTACAAAATTCCCTGAAAATTCTAAATAATTATCTAGATTACCCTATACAACAATAATTAAAAATCTACGAATATTCCCCCCAACCATCATTTGTAAAATATCGAGTTGTACATTTTACATAATAAATTTCACGATCTGTTATAAAAACATATCGTGAAATTTAAGAAAAAAATGTACTCAAATATAGGGAAAGAGTAAATGAATGACGTAATTAATTATGTACATCAATTAATTTGATACTTTACAATTTAATACACACACACACTCTCTCTCTCTCTCTCTCTCTCTCTCTTTCTCTCCCCCTCTCTCTCTCTCCTCTCTCATTCTAATAATATTCACGTCTAAACAAAACATATGATATCATAACAGATACGAAAAATAGGCTGAAAAGAACAATAAGCGTTAAAAAAATATAATACACTTATTGTTATCATATTAAATTAATCAAAGTAGTAGTATTAATAATATTACTAATAAAAATTTATCGAATGTATGTATACGATACAGCATAATGAGCAGTGTCTCTGAGTTCTGATAATATACCGAGTTATAAACAAGCGGCGAATCTATTTCTGTCGGTGGTTTTCCAAACCGTACAGATATATTTGTTTTACACAAAAATATCACGAATTTAGCTTCTGGCGTTCTTTTTGGCGTGTGTGAGCACGTACATACACGTGCATACGCACACGCGCGCGCGCGCGCGCACACACACACACACACACACACACACACACGCACGCACGCACGCACGCACGCACACACGCACACACACGCACATACACACACACGCACGCACACGCACACACGCACGCACACACGCACGCACGAACGCACGCACAAACTCGCGCGCGCGCAAAATACATTTCCAAAATCTTGCTAAAATTTCTATAAATCATTCTCGAAACACGAAGTACGAAATTTAAAACTCCTAATTAAATCTATACAATGTTCCGCATTGTTTACAGCACATTTTTAAATTAATTTAAATAAAAAAAGAATTTTGAAATAAATTATTCGAGTCTGAAGATATGTCAAATACAATTATTATTAGAATTAATCGCAAAAAATTTGAAGATAATTAATTTTCGATTATGATAATGTTACATATACTTTTTATATCATATTATAGATATATGTACCTACTTATTTTATACTTATTTTAGCTACATTCCGATATTTACTGTTAGCAACTATTAGTACTAAAAATCTATAACATATATGACATAAAATAAAGATAGAATAGAAAAATATAGATTTTTAATACTGACTCACTGCTCACACTGCTAACACTGCTTACGTGCGGATATACACAAAGAATAGAATTTTCGAATAAGGCACTATTATTGACCTTTGACCGTATCTCGAAAACTGTGCATTCTTTGATTTCGGGCCCATTATGACTTTTGATCAGGACGACATGAACTACATTATACTACAATTTCAGCAAATTAGACGGGAGGCCAATTTTCCCTGTAATGTGTGCGGGGTCCTTTCTTGAAATTGTGACGTGGAGCAATTTGTAAACGGGATTGTATTTAGCACCTAAAAAACTACGGAAAGTTTGTTTCTTTTTGTGATTTCGTAAACATTAGGAATATACAGATCGAAACTTTGAGGCATTAGAAAAATTGAATAAATATTTTTTACATCCCGTAAAAATAGAAAAAAAATATCGTTTCTAAAGATATTCATATCTATTGTAATATAATCTCTTGTAATATAATCTATTATAATATAACAGAGAAAGTAATCGTTAAATCAATTTCAAATCAATCGATAAAATTATACAACTTTTTAGATTTTACATTCCGTTTAAATATTCTGAATTATGAGTCCATAAAATATATTCAATCCAAAATAGTTAAGATATTGATACTCTTTGTCTTAAAAAAAATATATATATATATATATATATATATATATA